ACCTAGTGTGCCTGGCGGTCCAGATGGGCCTGGAGGGCCAAATGGTCCAGGAGGGCCAAATGGACCTGGTGGACCAAACACACCTGGTGGACCTAAAGGCCCTGGAGGTCCCGGTGGGCCTGGAGGGCCTGGTGGGCCTAATGGACCTGGTGGACCTAATGGGCCAGGTGGACCTAATGGACCAACAAAACCAGGTGGTCCAGGTCAACCTGGAGGTCCAGGTGGGCCTGGTGGACCTTCTGGTCCAGGTGGACCTGGTGGTGAAGGTGGTCCTGGAGGACCAAAAGGCCCTGGCGGGCCAGGAGGACCAACTGTGCCAAACGTTCCAGGACAACCTGGAAAACCCAATGGCCCTGGTGGCCCCAATGGCCCAGGTGGACCCAACGGGCCAGGCGGTCCTGGTGGGCCTGGTGGACCACTGTCGCCTGGCAGTCCAGGGGGACCTGGTGGACCTGGAGGGCCTGGTGGTCCTGGTGGACCTGGTGGAAAAACACCTTCTCGAGGACCAGGTCAACCTGGTGGACCAGGAGGTCCTGGTGGGCCAGGAGGTCCTGGTGGACCTGGAGGACCAGGTGGCCCTGGCGGGCCTGGTGGATCTCCAACACCACATGGACCTGGTAATCCTGGTGGACCAAAAGGTCCTGGTGGTCTTGGGGGACCTGGCGGTGCAGGTGGACCTGGTGGTCCTGGAGGACCTGGTGGACCTGGCGGACCTGGTGGACCCAAAGGACCTAGTGGTCCAGGTGGTCCAAATGGGCCTGGAGGGCCAAGTGGTCCTGGTGGACCAAATGGACCTGGTGGACCAAATGGACCTGGTGGGCCAAACGGACCAAGTGGACCTAGTGGACCAACAAAACCAAGTGGTCCAGGGCAGCCTGGAGGTCCAGGTGGTCCTGGTGGACCTTCTGGCCCAGGTGGGCCAGGTGGTGAAGGTGGTCCAGGGGGGCCAAAAGGACCTGGTGGGCCCGGAGGACCATCTGTACCAAACATTCCAGGACAACCTGGGAAACCAAATGGTCCTGGTGGCCCTAATGGCCCAGGTGGACCCAAAGGACCAGGAGGTCCTGGTGGGCCTGGTGGTCCATTAACACCCGGTGGTCCTGGGGGTCCTGGTGGACCTGGTGGTCCTGGTGGACCTGGTGGTCCTGGTGGGAAGACTCCAACTGGCGGGCCCGGTCAACCTGGTGGACCTAGGGGTCCTGGTGGACCAGGAGGTCCAGGTGGGCCAGGTGGTCCTGGTGGTCCTGGTGGCCCTGGTGGGCCTCCCACAACGCATGGACCGGGCGATCCTGGTGGACCAAAAGGTCCAGGTGGTCCAAAGGGACCAGGTGGTCCAGAAGGGCCTGGTGGTCCAGGTGGACCTGGTGGGCCAGGAGGACCTGGTGGACCCGGTGGACCAGGTGGCCCTAAAGGACCCGGAGGACCTGGTAGTCCTAATGGTCCTGGTGGTCCCAACGGTCCTGGGGGACCAGGTGGACCAGGTGGTCCAAATGGGCCCGGAGGACCAGGTGGACCAAAGGGTCCAGGTAGTCCTGGTAAACCCGGTGAACCTGGTGGAATTGGTGGCCCTGGTGGACCTGGTGGACCAGGAGGCCCTGGCGGATCTGGTGGACCTGGAGGGTCTGGTGGACCAGGTGGTCCTGGAGGACCTGTTACGCCATCTGGTCCCGGACAACCTGGGGGTCCAAACGGCCCTGGTGGTCCAAATGGTCCTGGTGGTCCAGGTGGACCTGGTGGTCCAGGAGGACCCAGTGGGCCTCTCTCACCTGGTGGTCCAGGTGGGCCAAATGGACCAGGTGGACCTAATGGACCAGGTGGGCCAGGAGGTCCAACACCACCTGGTGGACCTGGACAGCCCGGAGGACCCAATGGTCCTGGAGGGCCAGGTGGCCCTGGAGGGCCAGGTGGTCCAGGAGGTCCAGGTGGGCCTGGTGGACCTGGTGGACCAGGTGGTACATCTGTGCCTAATGTTCCAGGACAACCTGGAAAACCAAATGGTCCTGGCGGTCCTAATGGTCCCGGTGGACCTGGTGGTACAGGAGGACCTGGTGGTCCAGGAGGACCTGGTGGTCCAGGAGGACCTGGTGGACCTGGTGGAGCAGGTGGTCCGAAAGGACCTAGTGTGCCTGGCGGTCCAGATGGGCCTGGAGGGCCAAATGGTCCAGGAGGGCCAAATGGACCTGGTGGACCAAACACACCTGGTGGACCTAAAGGCCCTGGAGGTCCCGGTGGGCCTGGAGGGCCTGGTGGGCCTAATGGACCTGGTGGACCTAATGGGCCAGGTGGACCTAATGGACCAACAAAACCAGGTGGTCCAGGTCAACCTGGAGGTCCAGGTGGGCCTGGTGGACCTTCTGGTCCAGGTGGACCTGGTGGTGAAGGTGGTCCTGGAGGACCAAAAGGCCCTGGCGGGCCAGGAGGACCAACTGTGCCAAACGTTCCAGGACAACCTGGAAAACCCAATGGCCCTGGTGGCCCCAATGGCCCAGGTGGACCCAACGGGCCAGGCGGTCCTGGTGGGCCTGGTGGACCACTGTCGCCTGGCAGTCCAGGGGGACCTGGTGGACCTGGAGGGCCTGGTGGTCCTGGTGGACCTGGTGGAAAAACACCTCCTCGAGGACCAGGTCAACCTGGTGGACCAGGAGGTCCTGGTGGGCCAGGAGGTCCTGGTGGACCTGGAGGACCAGGTGGCCCTGGCGGGCCTGGTGGATCTCCAACACCACATGGACCTGGTAATCCTGGTGGACCAAAAGGTCCGGGTGGTCCTGGGGGACCTGGCGGTGCAGGTGGACCTGGTGGTCCTGGAGGACCTGGTGGACCTGGCGGACCTGGTGGACCCAAAGGACCTAGTGGTCCAGGTGGTCCAAATGGGCCTGGAGGGCCAAGTGGTCCTGGTGGACCAAATGGACCTGGCGGACCAAATGGACCTGGTGGGCCAAACGGACCAAGTGGACCTAGTGGACCAACAAAACCAAGTGGTCCAGGGCAGCCTGGAGGTCCAGGTGGTCCTGGTGGACCTTCTGGCCCAGGTGGGCCAGGTGGTGAAGGTGGTCCAGGGGGGCCAAAAGGACCTGGTGGGCCCGGAGGACCATCTGTACCAAACATTCCAGGACAACCTGGGAAACCAAATGGTCCTGGTGGCCCTAATGGCCCAGGTGGACCCAAAGGACCAGGAGGTCCTGGTGGGCCTGGTGGTCCATTAACACCCGGTGGTCCTGGGGGTCCTGGTGGACCTGGTGGTCCTGGTGGGAAGACTCCAACTGGCGGTCCAGGTCAACCTGGTGGACCTAGGGGTCCTGGTGGACCAGGAGGTCCAGGTGGGCCAGGTGGTCCTGGTGGTCCTGGTGGCCCTGGTGGGCCTCCCACAACGCATGGACCGGGCGATCCTGGTGGACCAAAAGGTCCAGGTGGTCCAAAGGGACCAGGTGGTCCAGAAGGGCCTGGTGGTCCAGGTGGACCTGGTGGGCCAGGAGGACCTGGTGGACCCGGTGGACCAGGTGGCCCTAAAGGACCCGGAGGACCTGGTAGTCCTAATGGTCCTGGTGGTCCCAACGGTCCTGGGGGACCAGGTGGACCAGGTGGTCCAAATGGTCCTGGAGGACCAGGTGGACCAAAGGGTCCAGGTAGTCCTGGTAAACCCGGTGAACCTGGTGGAATTGGTGGCCCTGGTGGACCTGGTGGACCAGGAGGCCCTGGCGGATCTGGTGGACCTGGAGGGTCTGGTGGACCAGGTGGTCCTGGAGGACCTGTTACGCCATCTGGTCCCGGACAACCTGGGGGTCCAAACGGCCCTGGTGGTCCAAATGGTCCTGGTGGTCCAGGTGGACCTGGTGGTCCAGGAGGACCCAGTGGGCCTCTCTCACCTGGTGGTCCAGGTGGGCCAAATGGACCAGGTGGACCTAATGGACCAGGTGGGCCAGGAGGTCCAACACCACCTGGTGGACCTGGACAGCCCGGAGGACCCAATGGTCCTGGAGGGCCAGGTGGCCCTGGAGGGCCAGGTGGTCCAGGAGGTCCAGGTGGGCCTGGTGGACCTGGTGGACCAGGTGGTACATCTGTGCCTAATGTTCCAGGACAACCTGGAAAACCAAATGGTCCTGGCGGTCCTAATGGTCCCGGTGGACCTGGTGGTACAGGAGGACCTGGTGGTCCAGGAGGACCTGGAGGTCCAGGAGGACCTGGTGGACCTGGTGGAGCAGGTGGTCCGAAAGGACCTAGTGTGCCTGGCGGTCCAGATGGGCCTGGAGGGCCAAATGGTCCAGGAGGGCCAAATGGACCTGGTGGACCAAACACACCTGGTGGACCTAAAGGCCCTGGAGGTCCCGGTGGGCCTGGAGGGCCTGGTGGGCCTAATGGACCTGGTGGACCTAATGGGCCAGGTGGACCTAATGGACCAACAAAACCAGGTGGTCCAGGTCAACCTGGAGGTCCAGGTGGGCCTGGTGGACCTTCTGGTCCAGGTGGACCTGGTGGTGAAGGTGGTCCTGGAGGACCAAAAGGCCCTGGCGGGCCAGGAGGACCAACTGTGCCAAACGTTCCAGGACAACCTGGAAAACCCAATGGCCCTGGTGGCCCCAATGGCCCAGGTGGACCCAACGGGCCAGGCGGTCCTGGTGGGCCTGGTGGACCACTGTCGCCTGGCAGTCCAGGGGGACCTGGTGGACCTGGAGGGCCTGGTGGTCCTGGTGGACCTGGTGGAAAAACACCTCCTCGAGGACCAGGTCAACCTGGTGGACCAGGAGGTCCTGGTGGGCCAGGAGGTCCTGGTGGACCTGGAGGACCAGGTGGCCCTGGCGGGCCTGGTGGATCTCCAACACCACATGGACCTGGTAATCCTGGTGGACCAAAAGGTCCTGGTGGTCTTGGGGGACCTGGCGGTGCAGGTGGACCTGGTGGTCCTGGAGGACCTGGTGGACCTGGCGGACCTGGTGGACCCAAAGGACCTAGTGGTCCAGGTGGTCCAAATGGGCCTGGAGGGCCAAGTGGTCCTGGTGGACCAAATGGACCTGGTGGACCAAATGGACCTGGTGGGCCAAACGGACCAAGTGGACCTAGTGGACCAACAAAACCAGGTGGTCCAGGGCAGCCTGGTGGACCAGGTGGTCCAGGTGGTCCAGGTGGTCCTGGTGGACCTTCTGGTCCAGGTGGACCAGGTGGTGAAGGTGGTCCAGGAGGGCCAAATGGACCTGGTGGACCGGGAGGATCATCTGTACCAAACATTCCTGGACAACCTGGAAAGCCCAATGGCCCAGGCGGCCCTAACGGCCCGGGTGGACCCAAAGGACCAGGTGGTCCTGGCGGGCCTGGTGGACCATTAACACCTGGAGGTCCTGGAGGACCCAATGGTCCTGGAGGTCCTGGTGGGCCAGGTGGGCCTGGTGGGAAAACTCCTGCTGGTGGGCCCGGTCAACCTGGTGGACCTAGAGGTCCTGGTGGACCAGGAGGTCCAGGTGGACCAGGTGGTCCTGGTGGTCCTGGTGGCCCTGGTGGGCCTCCAACAACGCATGGACCTGGTGATCCTGGTGGACCAAAAGGTCCAGGTGGTCCAAAGGGACCAGGTGGTCCAGAAGGGCCTGGGGGCCCTGGTGGGCCTGGTGGTCCAGGGGGACCTGGTGGACCCAGTGGACCAGGGGGACCTAAAGGACCTGGAGGACCTGGTAGTCCTAATGGTCCTGGTGGTCCCAAAGGTCCTGGGGGACCAGGTGGACCAGGTGGTCCAAACGGTCCGGGAGGACCAGGTGGTCCAAAGGGTCCAGGTAGACCTGGTAAACCCGGTGAACCTGGTGGAATTGGTGGCCCTGGTGGACCTGGTGGACCAGGAGGGCCTGGTGGACCAGGAGGTCCTGGAGGGTCTGGTGGGCCTGGTGGGCCTGGAGGACCTGTTGCGCCATCTGGTCCTGGACAACCTGGGGGTCCAAACGGCCCCGGTGGTCCAAATGGGCCTGGTGGTCCAGGTGGACCTGGTGGTCCAAGCGGACCCGGTGGACCTCTCTCGCCTGGCGGTCCGGGTGGCCCAGGTGGACCAGGTGGACCTAATGGACCAGGCGGCCCTGGAGGTCCAACACCACCTGGTGGACCTGGACAGCCCGGAGGACCTAATGGTCCTGGAGGGCCAGGTGGTCCTGGTGGTCCAGGTGGGCCTGGTGGACCTGGAGGACCAGGTGGACCAAGTGTGCCTAATGTCCCAGGACAACCTGGAAAGCCAAATGGTCCTGGTGGTCCTAATGGTCCAGGTGGACCTGGTGGACCAAATGGACCCGGCGGGCCTGGTGGACCTGGAGCACCTGGCGGACCAGGAGGACCTGGTGGCCCTGGAGGGCCTGGTGGACCGAAAGCACCTAGTGGACCAAAAGGACCCAGTGGACCGAAACCAACTGAACCATCAAAACCAACACCTAAACCTGGAACTCCTGGTGGTCCTAATGGTCCAGGTGGGCCTGGTGGGCCTGGAGGGCCGGGTTTGCCTGGTGGTCCAGGTGGACCTGGAGGTCCTGGTGGTCCTGGTGGACCTGGAGGTCCTGGTGGGAAATGTGGTCCTGGTGGACCAGGTGGACCTGGAGGTCCAAAGGGCCCAGCATGTGGGCCTGGTGAACCAGGTGGTATTTTTGGACCTGGAGGTCCTGGAGGTCCTGGTGGACCAGGAGGTCCTGAAGGTCCTGGTGGACCTGGTGGTCCAACTCCACCTGGAGGTCCTGGTTCACCTGGTGGTCCAAAAGGACCCGGTGGACCTGGAGGACCCGGTGGTCCTGGTGGACCTGGTGGACCTGGTGGGCCTGAGGGACCTTTATCACCCGGTGGACCAGGTGGACCTGGTGGTCCAGGAGGTCCAGGTGGTCCTGGTGGTCCAAAAGGACCAACGCCTCCTGGTGGACCTGGCGAACCTGGTGGTCCTGGTGGTGCTGGTGGTCCTGGGGGACCCGGAGGTCCAGGTGGGCCTGGTGGGCCTGGTGGACCGAGAAGAATTGGTGGGGCTGACATTGGCTTCATAATTGACGGATCTTCCATTGTTGGAGAAGTCAAGTTTAAGATCTTACTTGACTTTGTCAAATTCGTTTCAAAGAAGTTTATTTTACCTGGCTCTGGGAATAGGATTGCTCTGATTGTGTTTGATGACAAGGATGCAAATTTGATCTTTGACCTGACCTACTTCAAAACTGTTCAACATTTTGGACGATTGATTACCATGATCAGATACCCACCAAGCAGTGGCCGCAATCCACAATCACTCTATCACAGTCTCGTCTTGGCGCATGAAATCTTATTTGGTGCATCGGCTCGTCCTCAATCCAAAAAATATCTGATCACTGTTACAGCTGGCAACACTGCTCCTAACATCAAAGTGGTATCGTCTGGTTTGCGTAGTGAAGGAGTTGAATCATTTGTGATCGACCTCTTCCCAGCTCGAAATCCAGATCTATTGAAACTGGCGTCAAAACCGCGTATGAAGCACGTGTTTACAGCAGATATCAGCAGCCCACGCAATTTGAAGAAAGGATTAATAACTGTGGCGACGGCAATTACCCCAAAGATTCAAGGTATGATATACTAACCATTCGCCTTCTTGTGTAGAAAACTTTAACGATCACTGTGTAATTAACACAAAGCATATCAAACATGTTATTGTCGATTTCAGATAACTTTTCAACACGCTGTTCCCAAGTTCGTTGCGAACTTGCCAATTACGTTGTCAAGTTCGGAAGTTGGGCTTCGCAAGTGCAAACAAATGTTCAGAGTTGGAGTTGAAATTACTGTTTTAGGCCCTATGCACATATTACTGCGGTAAAATATCGGTCCAGTGGTCTGCCAAGACGAAAATAGATTCATAAATGAAATTTTTACATTTGATCACAATCGAAGTTCGAACTTTAAAATGAACTTGCGAACTTCGTTGCGAAGTTCCCGCCCAACTTCCGAATTTGAAAACGTAATTGGCAAGTTGACAACAAACTCTGGAACCGCGCTTTGAAAAGTAATCTGAAATCGATAATAAACGTGGTTTTCATTTTCTGTGATCACCGTAGGAATTTTGCAGTAATTTTAAAGGATCTGTAAGAAATGTTTGAGGGAACTGACTCAGTATCATAGATATTTTATACAGGGTGTATCAAAAAAAGCGCAGTCCTCGACTGAAATGTAAATTGCTAAACAAATAATAGACGAAAACGTTAAAGTTTACATTCATTTTAAAGCGTAGCCATTCAGCTTTCTAACAGTGGGTTGTTTCTGAAATTTGACTCATTGGTTCGCGGGTAATAATACTTTACGTTACTGCGATTGGAGATTAAAAAAATTGAGATGGAATAACAAATCGTTCTCATGAATATAACTGATTTTTTCATTAAAACAAAAAAATGTTGCATTTTATTAAATGGATTGTAACAATAAGTATAATTACGGCTTTTCTTCCACTATTTTTAACTCAGTTTGAAACTTCAAATGCGATATAATTTTAGCTTGGACCATCTAAGCTGACTGACATCAACTTGCTATAATTTCTGTTTACATTACATCGCAATTCGATGACACTCTGGCTCAGACACCAGAATGTTTTGACGATTTTTAGCATTCATTTAGGATTTTCAAACAACCTGGTCTCTTTTAAAATACTTTTAATTTGTTCTTACGTGGTTTTCCATATGTAGTGACGACAACTTAAAGTTTAAAGAAGAAAATTCTAACATTTAAACCGACTAAACAATAACATAGTAAACTTGCATAATTAAACAGCAACTAAAAATGATAGGTTTTACTAAATCTTTTCCTGTGCAATTATTACTAGCATTGGAGACAAGGATAATAGTTTTTTGAAAGAGAAAAGAACAGGCTTTGAAGTAAGCCTAAAAGCGTTTAACTAGAAATAGTATTTCGAAAGTTATTAAGCAAAAAGATGAATTGCGTTTATTTTGATACACCCTGTATATCTATTTTTGACGTATGGAGTAATGAAATTGGGCAATACTTATACCTCTACTATTATACCTTTAATAACTCTTAAAAAAAAAGCTATACGCGTTATATCTTTTTCCAATTATCAAGCACATACAAGTCCCCTTTTCTTTAAACTAAACATTTTAAAAGTTCCTGATGTTGTTTTATTTAATACCGCATTATTTATTTATGTATGAATATAATCAAGGAACACTTCGAAACGTTTTTGATGAAATGTTTACTCCTGTTCGTAGTAAACATCAATATAACACTCGTTTGGCTTCTAAATCTTCATATTGTCTTCCAAAAATTCGAACAAATTATGGTAAATTTGGCATTAGATTTCAACGTCAGAAAATCTGGAATTCACTTGATGAATCCTTCAAAACCCTACGAAAAATATTCCTTCAAATCCAAATTTAAGAAGTATTTAATTAATATTTACAATAATACCGATTAACTTAGACTCGCTTTGTCTCACAAAATGTCTCTTGTTTGTGCTTGTAATATGTTGTTCCGTTTATATCAGCTTCACTGTCTTCAAAACTGAGTAATTCATAGTGTATTAATATAAATGTCACCTGTCTAGGCAAGCCGTTAATGGTTATTACAGGTGATATGTACTTCTCCAATGGTTTATTTATTTGTATTTTTCAATATATGTAAGATTGTAATACTTTGAAGTACAATAAAGTTGTTGTTGTATTTGTGTGATGCTACTCTCAATGTATATCCACACCGGGAAGACTTGAAAAATATGCCTGGCCATGGTGTGATACATTACACCAACACAGCAAATACCATACCTATTATTATTATCGTTATTTTTGGCATCTTGCTCGATACACCCGTACAGCAACCAAAATTCAAACATTGCCAAGTTTTTCTGAGACAAGTCTACATCTGCACTTGTCATAAAAAATTTGCAACGTTGCCACTACAGGCAGGTAAAAAAACTTGTCATATGACAACTTATCCCAAAAACAAGCTTTGTTTGTAACCGGTTTAAAAAGAATACATAAATTTCGTCACGATTGAAGAACAAAACTAGCTCAAATAGAGAATTCTGTTTTTACCTTTCAAAGCAAAGCATTCCTCTGCATTTTCACATTTCCATACTTTGAAAGTATCGTTCATAGCGGAAACACATCTCGAGCCATCATGTGTCACTGCAATATCAATAACGGCTTCTGTATGACCACGTGATCTGTCTTGTTTCAAGTGCGCACTAGTGTCCAGATTCCATACTCTAAAACTACGATCATAAGAGCCAGACAATGCCTTGGATCCATCAGAAGTTATTGACAAAGAGCTGAAATGCAAAAAGCTGATTGTCGACTTAAAGTAATTTTATTTGTAATTTATTCTCTCTAGAAGTGCAAAGAGGACATCCTTGTTAGCCTATAGTGTTTCTATTGAACAAACCATAACTAAGACTTACTTTATTTATTTATACAAAATAAGTCCATCCGTTCTAAACTGCCCTGGTAAAGGTTGAGGCAATTTTACATTAATCAAATGTTGCTACAAATGACTGACCTCAACTAAAGTCACTTCATTTAGACTGGATATTTTTTGCACTTCTAAACTGTTCTTCCTAGAGGTCCAGTAAAAATCAATCGCCAATTTGCCCAGTTGTACTGCAGAAGGAAATCATATTGTATTGGTCTTTATTGTTACTAGTGGAGGTCTGGTGTTTGGTAAAGTAAAACTGGAAGCACTCACTGAGGTGAAATTCAATCTGTCAACTGCACATTCGGGACTTTTAGCTAGCAGAACGGCGACGGATGTTAATACAATAAAATTCGAGACAAGGTTATAAAGAAATTAATAATTAAAAGTCCCTTTGGAGTTTTAAATGTCGTCTTCGCTCTGTTTACAGTAGCTAGCAAACTAATAATTTTTACGTCGTATACAGGGTGTATCAAAATAAACGCAATTCATCTTTTGTGCTTAATAACTTTCGAAATATATTTCTAGTTAAACGCTTTTAGGCTTACTTCAAAGCCAGTTCTTTTCTCTTTCAAACAAACTATTATCCTTGTCTCCAATGCTAGTAATAATTGCACAGGAAAATATTTAGTAAAACCTATCATTTTTAGTTGCTGTTTAATTATGCAAGTTTACTATGTTATTGTTTAGTCGGTTTAAATGTTAGAATTTTCTTCTTTAAACTTTAATGTTGTCGTCACTACATCTGGAAAACCACGTAAGAACAAATTAAAAGAATTTTAAAAGAGACCAGGTTGTTTGAAAATCCTAAACGAATGCTAAAAATCGTCAAAACATTCTGGTGTCTGAGCCAGAGTGTCATCGAATTGCGATGTAATGTAAGCAGAAATTATAGCAAGTTGATGTCAGTCAGCTTAGATGGTCCAAGCCAAAATTATATCGCATTTGAAGTTTCAAACTGAGTTAAAAATAGTGGAAGAAAAGCCGTAATTATACTTGTTGTTACAATCCATTTAATAAAATGCAATATTTTTTTGTTTTAATGAAAAAATCAGTTATTTTCATGAGAACGATTTGTTATTCCATATCTCAATTTTTTTAATCTCCAATCGCAATAACGTAAAGTATTATTACCCGCGAACCAATGAGTCAAATTTAAGAAACAACCCACTGTTAGAAAGCTGAATGGCTACGATTTAAAATGAATGTAAACTTTAACGTTTTCGTCTATTATTTGTTTAGCAATTTACATTTCAGTCGAGGATTGCGCTTTTTTTGATACACCCTGTATACAACGTGCAAGAATTGGTACTCGGCAAACTGGTTTGGTGGAAGCCTTCTCAAATATAAATCTCCGTCTTAACCTCTTAAAACTGTATTAAATTCGTACAACAAATAATGAATGACAAGTTTCTTTAAAGGTATTTATTTGAAGGATTTTGTTTTGGCCATCGTCGTCGCGTTGCCATCCTACATACTAAAGGTCCCTATTGGAAAAATGGTACCGCTGTCACAGAGGTGGTAAGGTTTATGAACTCACTTGATTACATCGCTGTGACCTTTAAAACAGGAAAGTAATTCCCCAGTGCGGAAACACCACAATCTCACTATCATATCGTGGCCCCCGGACATAATATGCTTCATATCTGGGCTCACAGCAAGACTATAGATCCCACCTTGATGACCACTGAGGGTACGAATTTCTTGATGTTTTTCTACATCCCAAATTTTTAAAGTTCCATCATATGAAGATGAAACAAGTATTGGATTGTCATTTCCTAAATCAAAAAGAGAAATATCAGAAATAAACTTGAAAGAAAGAAAATTCGTCTGATACGCTTCAGTATGTATTCTCCAATCAAAAATCCATCTTACTTTTGCAACTCACTCTATGTTCGCGATAATCAACTTATAAGACTAAATAAGCTGTTATCAAATGCTCACAAGCAATTGACCAACCACGAGTCTTCAAAGGGTCACGTGTTTGTTCGACATTTTACGATGTAAGGACAGGGTTTTATATTGAACAGTAGCTTACCGTGGCTTTTTTCCCAGTTGATCAAACCTTTTCAGATGTTTTGTCAATTTCAAACACAAAGCAAACAATATCCCAAAGTAGTGAAAAAGATTTGGAACATTATTTAGACAGTTTTTTCTACCCAGTTTTAGTAAAACTTTTAATTCATTTACAAGAATCGTGAAGTTAGTAATATTAATATTATATAATATAATTTGTTTTATTGAATTTAGGTCAAATCACCTTTAAAATATACTTAGTGAATGGAATTGAGTTTTTTATGGAGAATTGTTTTTGAAAACTAGGGGACAGTTGTATAACTAGGGATACAGGGATAGTGTGAAGTTTCAAATTAAAAAAGACATTGCAAGAACTATAGGGTCGCCGACAACCTAGAAAAGCTGATGGCTTACACTACGAAATAAACAGTTACCAAAGGCAATTCATCTCATTATTTATTGTTTTTAATACGTTTGGCACACGAGTAGCGCGACGTTTGAAACAAGCTTAACACATCAGAAACGTGTGCCTTATGGAACTGATAAAATTTATTTATTTATTGCGATGCTACATGCGACAACTCGAAATTTAAATTGCTTCACCAACAACAAAATTTTGCATATTCTAAAACTTCATTTGCAAGCATCCCCATGAGGCTACTGATATGCTAAACTTATTAAATCTATGATTATTTCCATCATTCGTTTAGCGCCCATATTGCGCATTTGACTATTGACTCAGTGACAACTTTAATAGAAATAGCTGTATAAGATATGATCAAAAGAACGCATTTTATCGCCATCCGTTCCGTATTTTACTCCCATATCCGTTCCGTGAATCCGCTCCATTCGCTTCTACATTTTAACCTAATTGTGACATGTTTCACAATAACAAGTCTCATCGACCTTTGATTGATTTCTAGTGTCACGTTGTGTCATTTGACTCATTTTCAGCTTTTCGCATGTGTTCAAGTTCAATGTCTCTTTAGATTTCGATAGTTTCACAGTTATAGCAGTGTTTATAGCAGTTTTGACAAGCTTTGATACAGCCCTGAATACAGATTGATTCTCGTAAGGTCTGGTAGAGTTATCGTTGCACTGAATGTGAGTTTGCACCGTTGTGCTATACATACTAGACAGTAAAGTCAGTGTGCTATACAAACTAGACAGTAAAGTCCGTGACGGTAGACGTTGGCTACCTCCTTGCCTTTTTCTTCTATTGCATAAAGTTTGTTGGCGAGCTAGCCAAGCGATTAGCGATAACACGTTGATGCAATTTTTCGCTTTTTGTAATGAGTGTAGCCATCTATATTCTGTGGTCTAGCGTACCTTATACAGTCAATGTATAATGAATACACGGTCTAAATAATATATCGATGGGCACTTAATTGAATGCCGGTAATGCATAACATCAATTTATATATCGAGTACAATGCGTAAAATCTCAAAGATTTTCTCATTATTCATGTCTGAAAAGTTTATATATTTGAAAACAACACAGTCTCATTCCTTCCCAGCTCTGTATAATGAATATACCGACTAAAGAGAAAGAACTATGCTTTCAGAATTTGCAAGAATGTAAACAATACTTACTTGACTAAAAAATAACTGTAGGGCCCCTTTAATTGAATGCCCATAATGCATAACATCAATTTATATATTGCGTAGATTCTCAGAGATTTACTCAATATTCACGTCTGAAATGTTCATAATTTGTTTATGCGCATCGGCACGCCATCGTGAACATAAATTATTTATGACGTATAAAAAAATTAAACAAATTTAAAATTGCTCTCAATTTCACAAAACAGCTATTAGTATTCGGTTTTTTAGATATATGGCTTCATTGGGTTATAATGTAGAATAATAAAAAAAATTTTGAACTTAAATTTTGTAAACTAGGGGGGTGTTTTTTCCAACAAGCTAAAAATGGTTTGCGCACGAGATTTAAAAGCTTTAATCGTATTTTGAGACAATGGGTAAAAATGTGTTGGGTGTTTAACTGCTGCACGAAATTTCAAACAATTTGCTTCAGTTTAAGCCCATTAAATATTTACGCAAACTTGCATTTTTCCTAAAAATCAGCTATTTGCATGCTTAATTAATGCCTTTGCCTAATTTGCATATTTCACCAATATGCAAATTAGGTAAGGGCATTAATTAAGCATGGTAAAGGCTTATTTTTTAGAAGAAGTAAATAGTTAAAGGCTTGTACAAACATTTGCTTTGTACATTAATTAACAACCCAACACATTTTCCCCCTATTACTCAAAATGTGATCAAAGCATTTAAATTTCGTGCGCAAGCCATATTTAGTTTGTTGGAAAAGACACATCCCCCTGGTTCGCAACATTTAAGTTTGAGAATTTTTTTTCCATTATTCTACATTACAAGTACACAAAGAAGCTATATACATCAAAAACTGGATACTACTAGCTGTTTTGCGAAATTGAGAGCAAGTTAAAATCTGATTAGTTTTTTTTATAAACATTTGAAAAATGTCCTAGAAATATCACTTTTAATTACAAAATTATCAATTTCCCAAACATATAAATGTTAGGTATGTTATTATACGTAATATAAGCTTCAATTTATATAATCTAAAACTTAAATGTTCTTTATAAAACTAAACTAATATCCATAAATTTTTAGTTTGAAATAGAATTATTTCAAATTCTCGCATGCAAATAATATTGCCTTCTTTTCTTCATTTAATATAGTAAAAAATAGAAATGCGCTAAGCGTACATGTATCTTCTCATGGTAAATATTGCATTGTTGTCAAGGAGTTCAATCAATACTCCACGCCTGGGATTTTTGCATGCGAAAACGCTAGTTCGCCATTCATTATGACCTGCGGTATTCTTCAAAAACTGCTGCGTAAGCATAATTAATTTGACAAGATGGCGGCCGTTCGAAATGGCAATTTTTATAGTCTTGACGAGGTCTTAAATCAAGATATTTTGAACGACAACTGTGTCGAACGGCCGGTAGATTATTTTCAGAAAGTAATGCAGGCCCTTGGTAGCTGCACTCGGGAGAAAAGCTGCCAAAACGACGTGTTTTTCGTGAATGAATGTGCCGAGCAAGTTGAAACTTTACTCGAAGCTCATGATTCTCTGGATTAAATGTGCCACGGAAGATAACTAATTCCATAAATCCAGCGCCAATACTACAAAGGGAAGCTCAGCTGTGGCTGGCAGGAATTCGACGGCGGATAGGGGGCAAAACGAGTATCAGAAACCCATATTTATTTACTCAGTTTATCATGTTTTCAATAATTGTGGAAATGTTCGGGGTTTGTACGGATTTGTTGAACCGTTTTGTTTTCACTGTGATGTCAAGAAGGCTATTGTTATTTATTTTACTTTGATGCGCTTTGTCAACGAGTTATTAGCTTGATTATCTGGGTTGTCCAAGGATGTTGTGCTTGGCTACTTTGGGCAAAGTTTTCCCACTACAGTGTATATGGATTGGAGAGTGGAATGTCATTTGTCAATGGATTTCCTCAGCATGTTTGCTAGTAATGTCTGAAATATTATAATTCATTAAAGTATAGTCAGGTATATTGTAACAGTTGTGAAGATGTCTTCTCTCAAACTCTCTCAGCATTCACATTATGACATTATTAATTATTATAAGAGCTAAATAGCTGATAAATAGTGTATTGGCTGCCTCCATCCCTTCCTTTCTGTGATGGATTGTCACCCTTGGTCCCTTTATACCCAATGACTCTTCACAGCTGTTGCAAACATATCAAAACATTGTTAAGATAATTGGTAATTCTTAAAATGCCCATGCATAACTGGTCATTGCTACCAAAATCATTTCTACCTATGTCTCCAAAATTATCAGCATGTATGTACCATTATTATATGTATTTATACTGTTACTGTGGCAATGACCAACAAGTAATGGGAATTGCCAAATAGTTGTCCATTTCATGATGTCAGAGTATGTTTCTCTGATGACCGGTTTTCTATAAATACCCAGATAGCAAAGGAAACAACTCAAATATTTTAGTGAAGTGAAAGTTAAAAATCTAATTTCTCTTTGCAATTTTGGTGTTGGAATTTTGAAATGAGTCAACCCTGAACCAAGTGTTGTAGGTTTTCTCTGGGTACTACGGTTTACTCACACGGGAAGCAAAATCTGTTTGAAAAAGGTGTCCACTTTCATGACCATTTGACTGGCACTGCATGCATTTATTGTTGACCTACAGACAAGGGATTCAAAGCAATACATTTTGCCAGAAGTAATTATTTGCACATTCAGCTTTTTATTTTCTTATCTCAATCAATCTGCAGGCAAAAATCATTGCATACAACACAAATATAATGATGTGGACATCAACTGATATCTTGTTTTTTTTTAAAGAAATACAATGGTTTACATAGGTTATGATATGGTTAGGTAAAAATAATACTATATACAAATTAGCATAATATTCTATACAAAGTGAGAGGTGCAACTTTAAATAATAACAACATAGTGTTGATATATGCTAATTTGTAGATGTATATGTAGTTTTCTGTATAATTGTATTAATTAATATATTCTATATTGTTATTAATATGTTTTTATATACTTTGTTATTACTAAATGCATCTGATTGGTTTGATTTTTTTCACATGATCATAAAAGCTCATGTAATTTCCCAGACCCCACAACAAACTTCCCGACGAAGGGCCTTCGCTTGAAACATTGTCCTTGTATTTTTCAGGTAGTTGCATCCCTACCAAACAGGAGCGAAACTTGAGTGGGGGGGGGGTTCAGGGGGTGGTCCAGAAAAATTTGTGACTAAAACTATTTGTAGATTAATTTTGCCACTTGAGATAAATCCTGATCACCAGGATCGACAGACTGTGCATGTTAAACAGTTACTGTTAGACTGGCTACAATTTGCTGCTCTTGTCATATGAACATTTCTTGGTTGTTTGCTATTAAAACCACTTTCATCCTTGCTATTGAATTTTTGAATCTAAATCATTAGCTGTAGGAAAAGAAAATTAAAATGTAGGTTTAATCATTATTTAGTTAGATTGATATGTGAGAGGTCTTAGACTTTTACATCAAAATTATTGAGTGGAACTTTATAAACATTTATTAGACCTAATCAGGAATAACTGTGAGAAAAGCAACTATCGTCACTGGCAGGAATTGAACCTGCAGCCATGCTGCAGTGCTGGAATAAGGCCTGTTCATGCATTACTGTATATTACATATATATTAATTAAGGTACTATATACAAATATAATACTAAAAAGGTACTGCCATGACCCTAACCCATAAGAGAGCTCGACAACTGGCCTCTGTCGGTTAGAGTGCTGTACTGGAATCGCAGGTCTAATTCCGGCCAGGGACCTACAGTTGCTTTTTTTCACAGCTGTTCCTTGTTTTGGAATAATAAGTGTCTATAAATTTCCACTCGACAATTTCCATGTCCAAGACCCTTCAACTATTATAATAAGTGGGATGCCAACAGAATCTCTTAGAATAATATATAGGCCTAGTGTCCTAAACAACTGAGCTACAGTACAGAGTCCAAATGTCGAGCTCTAACCACAAGTATATGTACTGGTTACTGCCTTGTCAACGTATCAGTAAATATTATGTTTTAAAGGTTATAGGTTTCAATTTTGGTATTTAGCAATACTAACACAGCAGTACCCAAGTATACACACATGAATTCCAGCTTGACAACTGGACACTGTAGCTCAGTTTTGTTGGTTAGAATGCTGCAATTGCACCAGGATTGCAGGGCCGCAGGTGCGATTTCAGCCAGAGGACACAATAATGTTCAAAGTGTGTGAGCGACTAGCAGTCGGGATGTACCTTTCATATACCATGCTACTTTCTGGGAGCTTATTAATTTTGTCTACCACAGTACTTATTGAACTTGAAGCTCACAATTGGGTTGGCTTTAAATAGTATACAGTTTATAGTTTAATAATTAAAAATAGATATGCTATAAGTGATATAAAACAAACTATTATCTAGTCTAATGGGTTAGCATATTTGCAATTACAATTTTGCAAATATGGTAACCCATTAGACTAGATAATAGTTTGTTTTATATCACTTATAGCATATCTATTTTTAATTATTAAACTATAAACTGTATACTATTTAAAGCCAACCCAATTGTGAGCTTCAAGTTCAATAAGTACTGTGGTAGACAAAAATTGTGCGCGAATATAAATTTATCATCATGACAAGAATAAAGCTGTGTATAGTACGATCAAGATGAGCTCAGTTCATAATATGAAGAAATATATTGCATAAAAGACCATGATAAATCAGAAACTCGATTACAAAAAATACAAGAGATATGTAAAACCTTTCTTACCTTGGAATCTAATCGCTTGAGCTCCTGAGCTGTATATATTGCATTTTTGTTCTCCTCTTCAACTGCCAACAGCCTAACTGTGTCTTTCGCATATACTTTCCAACATCGAATATTTTATTGCGCGCATGCCTTTGTAAAAGGTATAATATTATCTTTTCTAGCACATTTTGTCAAAAACAAAAAACATACGATTTTTAATAGGTATCTTGACTTGTATTGGATTAAAAAATAAAATGAAAATAACACTGTAGAAAGAATCCTATACAAGCCGAAGTTGTTGCATTTTGACAACATGATGCGAAAGTCGCCATTTCCCTCAAATGCCCCGAACAACAAGCGCTCCTGTGGCAAAACATTCCGCGTAACCATGGTAATCTTGATATCATTTTGATCCCCGAGACACGCTCTGTTTCCCTGTTTACCTTAAATAACCCTCAAGAAAAACGCGCACAAGCACGCGCTCGTGGAATTTGAGGAATTTTTCAATTATCAAATTCGCTACCAAGCTCCCAAAATTGACGCGCGGCAACGAAAAAAAATGACACATTTTGAATGTGCAATTTCGCGTGCAAAAATGCCAGGCGTGCTCTGAAGAAGCTTGTAAAAATATTAAGAGACTGATGTTTAATGAATATATTTTTCCATAAACATCACAAATATATATATATATATATATATATATATATATATATATATATATATATATATATATATATTCCAATTAATTGAGGAACCGACTCGAATCACTGCAACTAGCGAAACCATTTGGACTTAGTTATTACTGACTCTCCTATGTATTGTACGAGTCAATTTACACTTAGTCCACCAGCAAACTGTGACCATAATGCTATTGTTGCCAAATTCAATCTATCTGTTTACAGTCATAGAACGTATAAGAGGACTATCTATAATTTTAATGTGGTAAACGTAAACCTTCTGACTAGCTCACTGCTGTCTTTCAATTGGGAATCTCTGTTTAATAATGTTTATGATATAGATACCCTTTATGAGACCTGGTCTTCACGATTTCTCAATATTGTAAACAACTTTATACCTTTGAGAGTAATTACTGTTCGTCCAAATGATAAACCCTGGATGAATAGTATAATTAGACGATCAATACGTAGGCGTAACAGATTGTTGCGCAAGTATAATAAAAGAAAACTTCCTAGGGATTGGGATCTTTACAAAACTCAGCGTAATCTAACGGTTAGCATAATTCGGAAAGAAAAAGCTCTATATTATGTAAAATTAAATGCTATGTTAAGTAATCCCAAAATAAGCGCAAAGAAATGGTGGGGAGTGGTTAAATCCATATACGGCACAAAAGTGTGTTCTACAATTCCACCCTTGAAAGAAAATTATATTTATGTTTATGATCCAAAGGAAAAGGCGAAACTTTTCAATGATTATTTTGTTCCCCAGGATACACTGGATCCACAATGCCCTCCACCGCATTTTGCAGGTCAATTTTCGCCGAACTCATCGCTGTCTAGTATTGCTGCTAATCCTGATGAAGTGTTAAAATTACTCTTAAGTGTTGATATTTCTAAAGCATGTGATCACGACGGCATTGGGAATCGTATGATTAAACTTTGTGCTTATGGTATCTATTACAGTTTCACTAGATTAATTAACACATCCCTCTCTCTAGGCCAATATCCCAAACAATGGAAATTTGCAAATGTCTTACCCAT